ATGACACTCCACTCTGTGCTTCGCGGCACGGTGGCGGACGTGTTGGTGAACGCATCAAAAGACGGTTTTGAGTAAACCGTACATTCGACAATCGTTGTTGATCGTCTCCTGTTGTCTTCCCCGCTGTCCATCGTTGGCGAGGTCTTTTGGGTTATGTTTTCTTTCACAGCCCTTCCAATCCGCGAATGTTTGTCGCGCCCCCGTGGAAGAACTTTGCCATCCTCTCAGAAACAACATCGCTTTGCGATGCGTCTCGCCTCCTTGCCAGCCCGTCCAGAAGCGGCCCACGGGCGAACTGCCGCGAGAAGGGCTGATGTCGAGGGCGCGTCGCGTCGAAGGAAAGGGGTCCTGCGGGAAACGTGCCCCAGGGCTGGACCTGACCGGTGCTTCTGCGATGTCGTGTGCCGTTTTCGGTTCGACTTCGTTTTGCGGCAAAGGCGGATTGAAGACCAAACGAGGGAACATGAAATTAAAACGAAAACGACACACACCGTTTAGGTTCAGCCCTAGTCCGACCCGGGAGAGCGCTTCCTTGTTCCCTGGCGCAGGCGTGACCCGAGGAAGTGCGGGAGGGCGGGAGAGGGCCGGCAACGCCACACTTCTCGCCCGCGCCGTCTACGAGTGCCTGGCGCCGGAGGAGGAGGAGGAGGACGAGGAGGAGGAGGACGAGGAGGAGGAGGACGAGGAGGAGGAGGGCGAAGAGGAGGAGGAGGACGAGGAGGAGGAGGAGGACGTTACCAGGGGCGGGGGCGGCCCAGCCACGGTTACGGTCGGCCAGCGTCGATGGGCGTCGATTCGTAAGGGACGACAAGGTGGTAGGGGAGGCTCTCCACAGTTGGCGCCGAAAAGGAGCCCAATGAGGGGGGAAGGTGCACCCGTCAGGCCGCAGAAGGGATCGGCCCAAGCAGCCGCCAGCCCACAACTGCCACCACCCAGAGGCCTCACGAAGCCCCTCAGGGCCATCTTGGAGCCACCCTCGGGCGGACATGGGGCTCTGTTGCCGCAGGCGGTGTCTCGCCGCACATTCCCGAGATCCCGCACAATAACGAAACCAGTCAGAACAGAGTGGGGACGCGGTGGTACATCACCAGAGCCTATCCGGACGTACCCTTATGGAGAAAGGACGAGCCTCTATCCGAGTGGAGCCCGATTTTTGCGGTCCAGCCGAACACCCCACACAGTCGAGGATTGTGTCGAAATGCTCTCCGTTATCTTGTGGCCGTTCTGTGGGCGGTCGGGGGTACTCCTGCACATTGGGAGCCGTCGGCCAACAGAGGAGGAATACTTGAAAATCGCTCCTGCAGTGGAGCTCTTTGAGCTCTCAAGGGACGTTATCGGGATATTATTGCGGGTTATGTTGGAACGCATGCATTTTTGAATCAAAAGGTTTTCGGCCCATCTCGCAACCGGGCTTGGTTTTTGTGGGTCTGAGGCACCTTCGATGCTCGTTGGGATCTCGTCGAGGCCCTTCGGGGGTATCATGCAGGCAGATGTAATACCTCTGAGGGCCAGTATGGGGCCTGTAGGGGCCTCTTTTGGGGTTCCTCGGGGCCTCTTAGGGCCTCGTGTGGGGCCTCTTGGAACCTCTTGGGACCTCCTGACCGAGGCCCCATCCTCCTCCTTTGCCTTCTTCTTGGTCCTCACCTCCAAGCGCCGCTCATCAGCAGGTCTGAGGGGTACAGTGAGACAGGTCATGATGTCCTGGAAGTCCACCTCGATTGCAGCAGGGCCACCAGAGGGCTCCGAGGGGGCCCCAGGACAGTTCCAAGAAGGCCTCTCAGATGTAGCACGGCCGTGCCACACCTCTGGGGTCGTTTGGGTGCCTCCCCGAGGTGGTGCGCTGGGGTTGATGTGTTAACACGATGTGTTGCCACGATGCGTTGGCACGGTTTGTTAAGTCGATGTGTGAACATTTATCGTCATCACGATTTGGTAATACGATGTGTGATCACGGCATGGCAACACGATTGGGTGCAACGATTTGGTGATACGGTTTCACACATGGTTTTTACTACCACGAGTTGTTACCATCATGTATTCGCACGAGTTGCCCACGCGATGTGTCACAACAGCCGTAGACCTTAGACTTGGCACTAAGTCTCATTGCGAACACGGTTTGTTAACACGATTTGGTACCTCGGTTCACGAACACGATTTGCTAACACGAGTTGTTAACACGAAGCCCCAAACGGGCCCCAAGAGGGCATCAGAGATGTATCACGGCCGTGTCGCGCTTTGGGGGTCGTTTGGGTGCCTCGTCGGGGCTGTCTGGGAGCCCTCACGGAGCTTTCCTTGGGCCTTCCCAAGCTGTACTTAAAATCATCTAAGCTCTCTGAGGGTCCCAGAGAAAAGGTTTCTTGAAAGCTTTACGAGGCTTCTTGAGGGCCCCGCGGGGCTTCTCTGGAGCCTCGTGGAGGTCTCTCGGGGGGGCCTCTTGAAAGCGCCTCGGGGGATCCTGGGGTCGATCGGGGCCATCTCTGGGAAAGCTCCCATCCAGTGTGAATGCAGCGCTTCTGTCTCCCACAGTGCGGGCTTCACACTCCCCCGTTCATTTCACGCGTGGCTTTTCGCGCGCGTGATTGTCCTGAGTCGAATCCCGTTGGCTCCCCCAGCTGAGCGACGTTGGACAACAGGGACGAGTAATTTGCGCGTGAGCGCCATCGTCTCCAATGTAGCGTGCCGCGCTGGCGGCCCGCGTAAGCCAGCGCGAAAGGTCTCTACGCTATCTTGCGTGCGACCCTTTTTTTCCGTTGCTCCGTTCGGTCCTCCGTAAGTAACCAAACGGATGATCCCTCCGTGGCGCGGGGCGCATTCCAAGGGCGGCGGCTTTGCCCCCGTCGTTCGGACTTGCGCTCTCGTCCCCAACAGGTTGCCTGGATCAAGGATTCGGAGGACCATGCGCTGGAAAGAAAGGTTGGGGAAACCGCCGTGCTGATAAAGGGTGGGGGCTTGACATGGCTGGGGGATCAGGAGGAGGAGGAAGAAGAAGAGGATGAGGCGGAGGAGGGGGAGGAGGAGGAGGAGGAGGAGGAGGAGGAGGAGGAAGAGGAGGAGAAGGAGGAGGAGGAGGAGGAGAAGGAGGAGGAGGAGAAGGAGGAGGAGGAGAATTTGTGTGACACGCCGGTGTCATGGCAGGCTGGCTTTCCGCATGCGCGTTCTCTCGTGTATCATTTTCATGATGATGGGTGCCATGAAGCGCTGGTGTGCCACACGGATGTCATGACACACTGGGGTGCCGAAACTATACGCCATTTCATTCAGCACCGATTTCAAGGATTGTGTAAGACCGTTCGGCTCCTTTACGAGCCCGTTTGACGGGAAACCATGCTGAAGGCGATTTCGTGGACATCTTCTTTTTTTTTGGCCGCTGCGAGAAAACATCGTTCCGTGGTTCGAGCAGCACTTCGCCTGAACTACAAGCGCCGTCTTCCCCCATCAAGCGCGCGACCCCTTTGGCCTCTGGCCAAAGCCAGCGACTTGTGCGCCTCAGACCCAACGAATGCACGTTATGCATGCGTTGCCGTAGCCAGGACATCGCCATGATTATGCATGCAATGACGCGCTGATGTGGCGGAGCGATGGGTACACATGGGACACTGGCCGTCCGCATGCGAATCCACTAATGTGTTGACGCAGGAACATCCTCATGATGATGGTTGTCCTGACGCGCTGCGGTGGCTCACCGATAACATTACACGCTGGTGCGCCTGGTGCGGCACGGATGTGCGCCATGTCGTCCTAATCCAGCACTGGTCCATGGAAGGTTGGCCCTCCGCATGTGTATTGGGTCGCGAGTCGTCGTGGGATTTTCGTCTTGATGATGGATGTCATGACACGCTGGTGTGGCACCGTCTGGCCCTATCAGGAGGCCTCTGAAAGGGAAGCCGTTCCAGGCGACATTTCGTAGTCAGCCCGCCTTCGTTGCCAACGCTAGAAAACATTGCATTTCTTGGGCCGAACGCTATTTCGACACACCTCCGCGCCCTGATTTGCCGCACCGAACTTTTAGTAACATAGAGGGTCTTCGGAAAACCCACATAAGAACTGATCGCGGCAATGCTCCGCAGAGGGAGTCACCCACGTGTCTGCGTGGCCCATGGATTCCAATGCTCTGGGCACACATACATTTCCACGCCACGAGACATAGTAATTTCCCCGTTTCGCATGCAATCCCAAGCAAGCGACACACATGCATCAACGTCCGCACTCCTCCGTCTTTCTCTGCAAGAGCATGACAGGTCGCGCATGCGTGCGCCGGGTGCGCTGGGGGAGGAGGAGGAGGATGAGAAGGAGGAGGAGGACCGGGAGGAGTAGGACGAGGACGATGAGGAAAATGATGGGGGGCATGGGGAGGAGGGAGGAGGGCGGAGGATGATTATGCGGCCAGGGGGGAAAGTAGGTTGAGGAGAAGGAGAAGGAATGCGAACAAAGAAACCAGCCAGACGCCTTTGGGCTTCTCTTCGGAAGTCTCTTGAGAGACACATGCGAACCTCTCGGCGCGTCTTGGCCCCTGGGCCGCCGCTTGGGGTGTCTTGGGCGCTTCGGGCCGCTATAGGCAAATCAGCCAACACGCGCGCACTACCCACCACTACATTGCAATGTGCAGGCGATCGTGTTGTTACAAAATGGTCTCATAGTCTGCCACATAACCTGTTCCTCCTCCAGCTTCTCCAACTCCTGCAGCTCCTGATCCTGATCGAGATCGGCGCCTTGCATTTGACCCAGTACTCCTACCTGGCGTGGGGCGTCCGTATCGGGGACACATCGGGGGCTCCTACCTTGCGCCTGGGCCACATAGGGGGCAGGCGGTTCCGTCTGCTTCTGACGGCTAGTTTTCGGCCTCGGCGCAGATGCCAGACCTTGGTTGTCCCTATTGTTGCTTCCCCCCATCACCCGCCTCCGTCGCCGCCGTCGTGGTTGTCTTTGTCGTCTTTGTCTTTGTCGTCCTCGTCCTCGCCCTCGTCTGTCGTCGTCATCGCCCATCGCCCTGGATCGCCAAGGTGGCGCCCGCTCCTTTCGCCACGCTGCCAGCGGCGAGGCAGCCAGCCTGGGAATACATGGGGGCACCGGCGGGGAGGAGGAGCGCTTCTCCTCCGCTGTCTTCGTTCCACATCCCGTTGAGCGATGTTTTCGCGGCGGCCACACATCGGGGCAAGGTACTGTCAAGGAGGGGCATGTCCCTTCCCAAACTTCTCCCCCCGCTTTGTGATGCAGACGTGGCTCTTACTTAATTGTGTAGCGACGAAGAGTTGCCAGTTTATGCACAACATGGGCAGTCTTTGTTTGTTGGGCCGGGGCCGGTGATCACGCAACCAGCATCGAACCCGTCATTGTTCCGTTTTCATTGGGAAGGCAGCTTGGTTCTTGTGCTTTCTTCCGTGTATGGTTTGGACCTCTTTGGATATGGATTGAGCGGCACAGTTGCATGATTGTATTGACCCCCGTGAAGCGGTTGAGTGTTGCTGTCCTGAGCGCCGCCGCGAAGCCCAGTGACTGAAAAACAGGGGCGATGGGTAGCAAGAGCCCGAGTAATTTTCTCGGGCGATTTTCAGCCCCATGCTCATGCTCTCTGATCCTCCACCTGCTCCTCCTCCTCCTCCTCCTCCTCCTCCTCCTCCTCCTCCTCCTCACCTCTCGCTTCCTCTTTGTCCCCCTTTGCAATTGCCGAATGCAGAAGAGGCAGCAGACGGAAACATCCTGAACATGGCACAACCTCTTTCTCCACGCGCTCATCCGAAACCCTCACAGAGACCGCCCAACACCTCCCCGAAACCACGGATATTATGTTTGTGTCTCCAATCTTGGGTGCCGTCCTGACCACTTGCCCCCCCGCCCGCTTTTCATCCCGAGTTGTCATGTGACGGTCCCCAGTCCCGGCAAGGGCCCCCGAAGTCTGAAATCGACAAACATTGTCCGTCGTGCTTTCTGTTGCGTAGACGGGGGGGAGGAGCAGGAGGAGGAGGAGGAGGAGGAGGAGGAGGAGGAGGAGGAGGAGAAGAGGGGAGGGACGGTGAATGGGAGGACGGTGGTGTTAGGCACAGGAGTTGGTTGAGGAGGAGGAGGAGGAGGCGGATGAGGGGGAGCGGGATCAGGAGAAGGAGGAGGAGGAGGAGGAAGAGGAGGAGGGGGAAGAGGGCGGAAAGGGGGAGAGGGAAGGAAGAAGGAGGAGGAAGAGGGGGAGGATGGGGATGACAAGGCAAATAAGGGGGGTGAGGAGCAGGGGGAGAGGGAGGTGAGGAGGACGAGGAGGATGAGGAGGAGGAGGATAATGTGAAGGAGAAGAGGGCGGAGGAGGAGGAGGAGGAGGAGGAGGAGGAGGGAGGAGGAGGAGGAGGAGGAGAGGAGGAGGAGGAGGAGGAGGAGGAGGAGGAGGAGGAGAGGCGGAGGAGAAGGAAGGAGGAAGACGAGGAGAAGATGGGGCAGGCAGGAGGAGGAGGAGGAGGATAATGAGGAGGAGGAGGAGGAGGAGGAGGAGGCGGAGGAGGGGAGGAGGGTGGAGGAGAACGAGGAGGATGAGGCGGAGGAGGAGGAGGATGAGGAGGAGGAGGCGGATGAGGGGGAGGAGGAGGAGGAGGAGGCGGAGGAGGAGGAGGAGGCGGATGAGGGGGAGAGGGTGGAGGAGAATGAGGAGGAGGAGGCGGAGGAGGGTGAGGAGGAGGAGGAGGAGCAGGAGGAAGGGGATCGTGGCGGGGAGGAGGATGAGGAGGCGGATGAGGGGGAGGGGGAGAAGGAGGAGGAGGGGGAGACGGAGGAGGGGTGGTAGGGGGAGGAGGACGGCTGCCCCTTCTCACCGCAACTGCGGGGGAGGGCGGCCGCGGCGGGTGGGGGTGGGGATACCGCTCTCCGCAGGTGTGTACTGGGCCACCGCCCTCTGGCTGGGTGGAGCTGCTGGCGGACGGAGGCCGCTGCCCCCCCCAGGTACATACGGCAGTGTCGTTTAACAGATCCCGATCCGCATCCGCATCCCCATCCCCAGTATAGGATCCCCACCATCCCACCACCCCAGATGGGGATTTGCCCCTTGAAAGCCGAAGGGAACAGCCTATATCCCCATCTAGAGGGGTAAATTGGCCACTGGGGCCCAGGCCACGCCAGTGGGGATACGGCAAAACCTTGAGACCCAGGCTTTGCATTCCCAGATCTCTGCCGATATGATCTTTTCGGTCCCGGCGTTCTTCCTCGATGTAGGCCTCTTGGGTCTATCATCGGTCCCCGGGACCATCCCACACAGGCGACGTCTTGAGTTTGTTCAGTACGCGGTCCCCAGAAGTCCTGACCCTTTCTCCAGAGCAGGTTTTGTATCCTGAATCGTTTCCTGAGGCCCAGTGGCCCAGCAAGGGCCCCCGGAGGCAGAAAATTGCCAAATCCTTTCCGTCGTGTTTTTCTCCTTTCGAACGGAGCGATCGTGTCTTAGATGTCAAGTGGGCCCAGGACGAAAAACGACGCTTGGAGAATGGCTCGGGAGCTGCGGGAGCGTGCCTCCCGTCGGTGCGATCGAGACACGGCCAGGTACTGCGGCGCCGGCGACACGCCATGCCGTGCAAATTGACAGCGTGGCGTTCCGCGGGACAGGAGTCAGAGGTGGAAATCGAAGAAAAAACAAACGCCATAAACATAAACTGTTGGCGCTCCGCTCGGTTTTCTTGGATCCGCGCCATGGGCCCCCCGACGGCGCCTCCCGCGCTGCCCCTGGCGCGCTCCGCGCGCCAGGGAGGGGGGCCCAGCGCGGATCCAAGAAATCCGCGCGGAGTGCTAAATATTCCTGTTTATGGCGTGCTTTTTTTTTTCTAGGAACTATACCGCTACCCGTCCTTAGCTTTCCCTTCTATTCGGCCTCCTGGGACGCTCTCGTCGCCATCGCTGGATTCGCTTCAAAATTTTGGTCGGCACGCACCCCGGGAGAGGTCCGCTGGATGGGTACCTTATGGTTTCCCCTCAACGTGTCGCCCCGCTCCGGGGCGGGGAGCTCGGAAAAAACTCGAGACGTTGACGCTTGGAAACGGGTACTTGGATAACGAGTCGAGCCGAAACAGGATAAGCCAGAATTAGCTGCGCGATTGAAAAAATACCCCCCCGTCAGGGGGGTCGCCCTCCTTTTGTGTACGGCCGGCGAATAAAATCGCCCCCGTTCCAGATATTCGTTGGGCGTCGCGTTGGCCGTCGTCATCCCGTCGTCGTCGTCGTCGTCGTCCGTCCTTGCCCCAAGACTGCACGATGCCCGCGCAGCACACCTCCCCTAATATAAGCCATGCGCAAAGGGTCGTCATCGTCGTGTCGTGTCGTCCGTCGTCGTCGTCATGGTGACTTTTGCATTAGCCACAGTAGAACGGTCATGCCTCTGAAACTGAAGTATGGCTTCCGCAGTGACCGACTGGATTGTCATGTCAGCGCGGATGTCTTCCCATGCCAATCAATTCGACCAGCGTGCGGCGCGCGTACGCGCGTGGTGAGTCCTGTACGGCCCGTAATAGAACAATAGCCGTGTTTTCCTGGCGATCCATCGGTTTTCCGCGTAAAACTTGTTTCAGGACAAGCTGGTCAAGTGGACCAGCATGCGCGCGCGCGGCCGAGCGTGGCGAATTTATTACGGTCCACACTAGAAGCGTTGCCATGTTTCCCTGGACGCTACAGCGAAACCTCATCGTTGGCCGATTGGAACTTCACGGTAACATAGGTTCTATCACGTGTCAACCAATTGGAGAAGCGCGCAACGCGCGCGCGTGCTGATTTTGTTGTATGGTTTACAATGGAGAGGTCGCCCCTTTGCCTTAGAGGTTAAAGATATCCTGATTTGCAAGTTCGCACGGGGCCATCACATGTCCATCTACTGGGCCAGCGCGCGACGCGCGCCATGTTGCCTTTAAATCGGAAGTTGCAACTAGCCGTGACGGGTTGGATGTCCATCACATGTTCATCATGTGGGCCAGCGTGCGACGAGCGTGCGCGCGCAGCCGCGCGTTGTCAGTTCTGTCGCCAGGCTGCCCTAGACATTAAACTCCGCCGTTAGGTGTAAGCGATGAAAATGCCAAGTCGACATGGCTGCCGTCGCACGTCAGTCAAATGAGCCAGCGTGCTACGCGCGCGCGAGCGCCGTCGGGCCCGTATGGTTCACATGGGAAAAATTGACATGCTGTTGTGGAATCAGAAATGAAGCGTCAGCGGTGGCAGATTAGTTTTCCGAGTTAACGTGGCCCCCGGCATATGTCAATACATGTGATCGGCGCGCGACGCGCGCACGCTCGCGCGCGCGCGGCCGTTCATGGTGAGCTCTGTATGGTCTACGACAGGAGAGTCGCCATTTTGTGTCAGTCGCTAAACTGAACACCGCGACCATCACATGTCAATCGTCAATCTATTAGGCCAGCGCGCGGCGCGAACACGCCTGCGCGCGCGCCCGCGGCGGCGCGCGATTAGTTCTGCGCGCCCGAAAACTGGAACGGGAGCCGCGTTGTCTTGGCGATGCAATGAACCGCTGGAGGTGGCCGAGTGGATTTACAGATTATCGTGGGTTCCACTGCGTGTCGATCAACTGGACTGGCGCGCCTCGCGCGCGCGTTCGCGGCTGCGCGTGTAGAGTGTTCCATGGTCCAAAGTCGCCACGTTGTTTTGCTAGCAAGAGCGTGCACTTTTCCGCGATGACCGCATGGATTTCCAGGTGAACATGCGTTACATCACATGTCAATCAAATGGGCCGACCAGCGCGCGACGTGCGCGCGCGAGCACGCGGCCGCGCGCGTCGCGTTCTGCATGGTCCTCAAGAGAGAGGCCGCCGTGCTGTCCTCTGATTTAGTGCGAACGATACAGGCGTCTCCACGTTTTCTTAGAAGCTGAACCCTTACCAGTGACCAGTTGGAGCTCCAATTGGAGATTCGGCCCATCACGCCTCGACGAATTGGGCCGGCATGCGGTGCGAGCGCGGCCGCGCGTGATGAACTCTGTCCAGCGTAGGCCGGAAGAGCGGCCACCATGTCTTCCGAACTGAAGTGAGTCTTTAGCGGTGGCCGATTGGATTCCCCCAGCCAGTACTAGTTCCGCGCCGCATGCGACGGGCCGTCGCGCGCGCTGGCGCGCGCAGCCGCGCGCGGTGTTTTCTGCGTGGTCCACGGCAGGAACGCCTTCATTCCTTGTTGGAACGTGCAGTGAGCGGTGACCGATGGGGTTTTCAGCTTGACGTGGGCCTCGTAATAGTTCCATTTTGTTAGACCAGCGCGCGCGGTCGCGCGCCCGCCCGCGGCCGCGCGCGATGATTCCAGCATGGCCCACAACAGAGCAGTCGCAATGTTGTCATGGAAACAATAGTGGACCGCAGAGGTGGCGGTGGATCTCACTGCGCGGAAATCAAGTTACCCCGCGCGCGGCGCGCGCGCCCGCGCGGTCGCACGTGATGGTTTCTGTTGGGCCTTCATCAGGAGATCCGTCTTGTTGTCATGGAAAACGGCGTGAACCCTCAGCAGTGACACACTGGGTTTCCAAGCCAAGATTTGGCACCAACGCGCGCCAATCACGTGGGCCAGCGCGCGGCGCCCGCGCGCGGTGACAGCTTCGATTTTCCAGCCGTCACGGGTTTAATTACATGCCCATCTAAACGGCCAGCGTGCGACGCGCGCGCGCGGCCGTGAGTCTCGCGCGGCCTACAGCAGAAACGTCGCCATGTGTATCCACGTGGAGCGTTCAATGGAAAGTGGCCGATTTGCTTCCCAACTGACCATGGTTTTCATCGCAGGGCAATCAAGTGGACTGGCGTGCCGCGTGCGTGCGCGCGCGGGGCCGCGCGTGGTGAGCTCTGCGTGGCCCCAAATAGAATGTCGCCACGTTGTCTTGGGAATTGCAATGACCCCTGGGCGGTGGGATTGGAGCTCCAAGGCAACATGGCCCCACCGCATCTCGATGCTTCGGCCAGCGTGCGACGCGCGCACGGGGGCGCACGCGCGCGCCACGCTGCCCTGAAACGCGAAGTGGGCCCTCAGCGGTGGCCGATTGGATTCCCAAGTTGCTCTGGATCCCATCGCGCGTCATTCAAGTGGAGCAGCGAGCGACGCGCGCACGCGCGTGCGGCCGCGCATGGTGAGTTCTGGTTTGTTTACGATGGGTCTGTCGCCAGGTTGCTCTTTGACGTATGAAGGCTTAGCTTTGACGGATTGACTTTCCAAGCCAACGTCGGTTCCATTGCGCCCAGCCATGGGGTCACCGCGCGGCGCGCGTTCGCGCGCGCAGGCGCTCGCGGCCGCGCGCGGTGAGTTCTGCAAGGACCACGGCCGGGAAGTCGCCGTGCGATATTGGAAACTCTGCGAAGCCTTAGCGGTGGCCGATTGGATTTCTACGCTCGCATGGGCTCTGCAATGCCCATCTAGTGGACCGCGTGCGGCGCGCGAGCGGCGTCGCGCACCCGCCAGCGGACGCGCGCGATTTTCCCGCATGGCTCACAACAGAAACGTCGTCATGTTGCCCTGGACAGCAGTGAACCCTTAGTGGTGGCCCGTTGGGTTGTTTAGGTCAACGCGGGTTTCTTCGCGCCGCAATCAGGCGACCCCGCGTGCACTGCGCGTGCGCGCGTGCGCGCGCCATCGCACGGTCGCGCGCGGTGCGTTCTGTTTGGCCCAGGATAACAGGAATGCGATGCTGCTCGAGACGCTACAGTGGCTTCTTTAGAGGCTGCCCCTTGGGTTTTCAAGTGCACATGGGTTCCGTCGCGCCCATCGAAGGGGCCAGCGCGCGGCGCGCCCGCTGCCGCGCACGGTGAGTTCCTTCTGTGCTGGCCACAGAAGACACGCCCCCAGGTTGTCTTGGAGTCTTGGCGATGGCAGATTTGATTTTCAAGCCAAGCCGGGTGCAATCGCATGTCCATTTAGTGGACCATCGCGCGACGCGCGTGCGCGACGCGCGCGCGCGCGCTCGCGCCCGCGCAAGCGCTGCCGCGCGCGATGAGCTGTGTCTGGTCCATACTAGGAGCGTTGCCATGATGTTCTGGGAACTACTGTGAACCATCAGCGGTGGCCGATTGGATTTTCAAGTCAACAGTGCTCCAGGCAAGCGCCCATCAAGTGGGTTCGCGTGCAACGCGCGTGCGTTTGCACGCGCGCGCCGCCGCGCGTGGTGAGTTCCGTTTGGTCAACGATGGAAAGTCGCCATGTTGCCACGCAGTCCTGCCCATTAATCTTCAACCCTCAGCTCTGACCGATGGGGGTTCCAATTCAATCAAGTGGATCCGCGTGCGATGCGCGTGCGCCCGCGCGGCCTTGAGTGGTGACGTGTGTACCTCCACGAGAAAATGTCGCCATGCTGTCTGGGAAATTGAAGCTAAACCTTCGCGGTGACCCTTGGGACCCTGTGGAGAAGGTGTCCATCTCGTGCCAATCAGGTCGACCAGCGTGCGACGCGAGTGCGCGCGCTGTCCACAATACAAGCCTTCCCATGGTACCTTGGAAAGTGAAGTGGGGACGTTGGCTGTGGCCGACTGGAGTTCCAAGTGGAGATTGGTTCCGACACGTTTCAACCGACTGGACTAGCGTCCCAATGCGAGGCCACAAAATGAATCTAAGGTTGGTTTTGCTGTCTTGGGCTTTCTTGGGGCCTATTGGGTTGTGATGAGCGTCTTGAAGCCTTCTTGGTTTGTTTTTGGTTGTTCTTGGTCGATAATGGGCCGTGTTGGGGCCAGGTTGGGACACGTTGGGCCGTTTCGGGGCCTTCCTGGGGGCTTCTCAGGTCGTCTTGGAGCCTTGGGGGGCCTGAGGTGGCGAGAACATGAAAACCTGCGCAGCACCGTAAGCAACTCGAAGATGTTTGTCTCGAGGGGCTTTCTTCTGGGTCTTCGGTGTCAGAAAATGTGTCGAGGTCGCTTTCGACCCCGGGGGAGACTGTGCACCTGGCGCCGGCTGGTGACATGTGTCCAGACCGTTCTGCAGCTCCCCGCGGCCGTTCTGGAGCTCTCTGCCGAGGTGGGTTCCCCGTAAGTGCCGTTCCCGTGACCGCGGGGCCGCCGCTTGTCCAGCAGAGCTGTGTTTCTCCTGCCGCTGCGGAAGCCATCGAGAGACCTGTTCGTCGCGGGAGGGCTTTGTTGCTTGGGTGGCTGAGGGAGAGGGAAGCCGAGGAAGAAAAGGACAGGACATTTCGCAGGTCTCCGCAGATGTCTTGCGGGTCTTCAGTTGGATCCCTTCACGGGCCTCTGAGGGGGAGGGAGCGCGCTCGAGCCATCCTTGGAGCCTCTTTGGGGCCTCTGGCCTGGTTGCGTCTTTGGAATCCTCCTCGGGGCCTCTCGTGCCCTGTGGACGACAGTTGCCTTCGGTTCTTCTCGCCACCGTGCCTGGCAGAGGCCTCTGTTGTCACCTTCACGGCCTCTTGGAAGTCCTCTTGGGAGCCCCTTGGTGGCCTTTCGGAGGCCATTGGGGGGGGAGGGCTTCTGAAAGCGCTTATGTGCTCGTTCTGGAGGCCCTTTTGGCAGTCTCCTCTGGATCCTTCTCTGGTGCCAAGCCGGCCCAAAGGTCCCCCAGACGGCTCACTGATCTTGCCAGGAGGTTTTGGGACGGACCTCTGGGACCATCTCAGGGCATGTAGGAAGCTTGTTTCCCAGTCGCGCTCCCAAAGCCTCGGGAAATGTCACGCGACATATTCAGGGCGAGCCAATAGAGCGCCTGAAACTGCCCCGCCATCGGGCGTACGATTCTTGTCGGTGGATCGCCCCTGACCAGGCCCATCCCGGGCCCAGGGTCGGTGAAGGCGCATCCCTGGCCACGCCGGGGCGCGTACACACCGCTCTTGGAACCAGGATGGGCTTTGCCAGGGCCGGTGAGCACGGATGATTGTGGATGCCATGACAATGGCCACCCTATCATTCCGATCAGTGAATGAACATGTGTGTCTAAAGTGTAGGGACAATGTACTGTACATGTTTACAACGTGTGTCTCACATGCTTAAGACACGTGTAAAACATGTGTTTGACATCTGGAAATCATTAAGCAAGATGCTTCCTATCCATTGGTCGTCGTCCACAAACGTACGAGTCTCCGTCTCTCTACATGATGAGAGTCCTGCAATCCTACAAGGCCCCTTGGGCTCTCCACTCGGTGCGCGGTGGCGGAGCTCTAGCACGAGCCGCTTGGAGGGATAAGACCGGCCGAACGCAGAGGCGAGGTGTGACGAAGACGCGGGCGGAGAGGAAGAGTGAGGAGGAGGAGGAGGAGGAGGAGGAGGAGGTGGAGGAGGAGGAGGAGGAGGAGGAGGGAGGGAGGGGGGAGGAGGAGAGGGGGGGAGGAGGAGGAGGAGGAGGAGGAGGGAGGAGGGAGGAGGGAGGGAGGAGAGGAGGAGGAGGAGGAGGAGGAGGGAGGAGGGGAGGAAGAGGAGGAGGAGGAGGAGGAGGAGGAGGAGGAGGAGGCAGGAGGAGGGAGGAGGAGGAGGCGGAGGAGGAGCAGGGGTTTGGGAGGCACGCGCTGACCGAGCGAGCACGCGGTGGCAAGCTGTGTGGCGAGGCGCTCCAGAAAGCAAGCGCCTCGCCGTCGAGGTCCCGAGGGGGGCTGCCCCGCCTCCTCCGCGGCGGGAGCCGGCGGAAGCAAGAACCGGCGGCGGGTCTGCCAGGCGGAAGATCGGGGGCAGGCACGGTGTACGGTCGGACTGAGGTATAGGATCGAGGTCGGCTCGGATGTTCTGTGTGTTTGGCCGGCGGAGGGTCTCATGTTCTCGAGGGGTGCTCTTCTGGCCGAGGTCCGGCTGCACGCCAGGAGTGTCGCATGCAGGGCTTTGGAGCCAGCCACGCGGATCCGCCGCCCCCAGGGATGGTGCAAAAGTGGGAGGCGGTGCGGTGCAAGCCCAACTGACTGGCGGACCCGAAGCCGACAGAGGCAAAACCGAGGAGCCCCACGAATTCCGCACCCAGGGGCGCCAGAACGGAGGAAGGAAGGCAGGCAAGAGGCTGCGGAAGGATGAGGAGGAGGAGATGTTTTGGCCTCGAACTGTTTCGTCATTCGTGACACTCGCGTACGGTTCCGAGGAAAAGGCGGAACAGATCGGCTACACGTGACCCGTCGTTGGGGTGGCCCTTCTCTTGCCCAGGGTAATTCATGTCGGGTCTGACATTCCTCGATAGCGCTTCCGGCGCTGGTAAGCGCCGGGAAAACCACCTACGTGGGCTGATTCCCCAACCCTATCTGTAGCATTGTCAGAGACTTTGGCTCAGCGTGTCGCTCGCAGGTTCTGACCCAACATGCTTCAGGCCCACACGCTATCCGCCGTCCCACTCGTAGACGTCAGCGTCGCGAGGTTGTGCCAGCCTCCCGCCCCGCAGAGCAGAGCGGCACGCGATCCGTTCGCCAGGCATTGCCTGCCGCCGGGGCCGCCGCCGCGACTCGCTCTGCGAAGGTTCCCGACCGTATCCCCCTTCTCGTCTGCCCCGATCGTGCGTGTAGCCGAGATCAGGTGAACGAAGAATGACATAAACATAAAAACTCGGAGGTCCGCGCGGATCTCCTGGATCGGCGTTGGAGCCCCCTGGCGGCGCCTTCGGCGCCGCCCATGGCGCCCTCCGCGCGTCACGGCGGGGGGTCCAGCGCCGATCCGAGAGATCCGCGCGGACCTCCGAGTTGTTATGTTTGTGTCAGTCTTCGCTCCCCTAGTGGAGATCGGTGGGCGTCGCGGAGGGGAGCCCGCCTCGGGCGCCTGCCAGGTGCGCGCTACTACTGGCACGTGGGCACGCAGACCACGCAGTGGGAGCGTCCACGGCGCGGCCCTCGGGCGTGTGGCCCCCGGCGTCTGCTCCGTGCTCCTTCCTCTGCCGAGAGGGGAGGGGTCTCGTGTCCGGAAGGGGTCCTGGGCCCTGGGCTGCGAGCCTGCAGCCTTGGGCCGTCCATGTTGTGTGTGCGTCACAGGGGCTGCCTCGGAGCGGTGGTCATGGCAAGCACGGGGTCACACAGCCCCGTTGGGTCACGTGCCCAGCACGGGGGTCCCACTGGCACCGTTCGGCTCCCGAGGGCGCTCCCCGAGGGCTCCCGAGAGATTATAGAACCCGGAGGGCAGGCCTACCCTAGGCCTACCCCTAGGACTACCCCCTAACCCTACTCTAGGCCTACCCCTATGCCTGCCCCCTAGGCCTACCCCTAGGCCTACCCCTAGGCCTTTCTCCTAGGCCTACCCCTAGGCCCTACCCCCTAGGCCTAACCTAGGTCTATCCCTAGGCCTACCCCCTAGGGCTACCCTAGGCCTTCCCCCTAGGCCAATCTAGGTCTATTCCTAGGCCGTTCCCTTAGGCACACTCTAGGCTTACTCCCCTAGGCCGCCCGCCCGACCCGACCCGCCAGTTCGTGTCCGACCCGTCCCAGTCCGACCCGCCCGTTGGGGTCCGCCCGACCCGACCCGACCCGCTCGTGAGGGTCCGCCCGACCCGTCCCGTCCCGACCCGACCCGTTAGGGTTCGATGCATCATACTTTAATGGCCCGCCCACCCGCCCCGACCCGCCCGTTAGGGCCCGCCCGACCCTGCAAGACCTGCCCGTTGGGTTCTCGCGTGTCCCCTCCCGGCTGCATCATGTTTAATGTCTGGCCCGCCCGACCCGACCCGTTCGTTAGGGTCCCGCGGATTGGACCGACCAACCCGTTAGGGTCCGCCCCTCCTGTCCCGACACGACCCGTTAGGGTTCTCGCGTGTCCACTCGATGACTCATCATATTGCAATGTCCCGCCCGCCTGCCACCACCCGCCCATTAGGATCCGTCCCGACCCGACCCGACCCGCCGGTTAGGGTCCGCCCGACCCGACCCGCCCGTTAGGGTCCGCCCGACCCGACGCGTCCGGACCCGATCTGGCAGGGTTCTCGCGCGTCCTTCCGTTGATGCATCATATTTCAATGTCCCGCCGACCCGACCCGACCCGCCGGTTAGGGTCCGACCCGACCCGACATGGCCCGACCGTTAGGGTCTGCCCGACCCGTCCCGACCCGAGCCGCTAGGGTTCTCGCGTGTCCATTGGCACATGCATCATACTTTAATGTCCCGCCCGCCTGCCCCGACCCGCCCGCTAGGGTCCGTCCCGACCCGACCCGACCCGCCCGTCAGGGTCCGCCCGACCCGACTGTTCCCGTCCCGATCCGACCCGTCAGGGTTCTCGCGTGTTTTTTCGCACATGCATTATATCTTAATGTCCCGCCCGCCCGACTCGACCCGCCCGTTAGGGTCCGACCCGTCCCGACCCGATCCGCCCATCAGGGGCCGCTGGACCCGACCCGACCCGCCCGTTAGGGTCCGCCCGACCCGTCCCGTCCCGTCCTGTCCCGATCCGTGTCGCGATTGCACTCGCGCATGCATCATACTTCAAGTGGCATGCGTGCCATGGCTCTTGCACGAAACGGAGGGGGAAGGAGGAAGAGAAGGAGGAGGAGGAGGAGGAGGAGGAGGAGGAAGAGGAAGAGGAGTAGGAGGAGGAGGAAGAGGATGAGGAGGAAGAAGAGGAGAAGGAGGAGGAGGAGGAAAGGGGGGAGAGAGGGGACGAGAAATCGGAGAAGTCTCGAGGGGGCGGGACGGCGGGGGCGGTGCGACGCAGAAATAAAATGGTCGGAGCGGAGGGGGGGCGGGTTGCCCTGGGCGGGCGGGGAGGGGAGAACGATCGCAGCGGCGGGACGGTGGGGGCCGTGCGACGCGGAAGAATACGTTCTTGGCGGAAAGAGTTGTGGGCGGGGCTTCTACTGGAGCGCTGGGGGCGCGGGGGGGGCTCGGGGTGACTGGGCTGGGCTCCTACCGGGGCGCTGGGGACGCGGGGGGGAGGGTGGGAAAGGTGGTGTGTGCGTCGCGCGGAATAAAATGGTCGGGGCGGAGGGGGCACTGGGCGGGGCTTGGGGCGGAGGGCCACGGGGCGGGGGGCGGTCCCACTCTGGCGCTGGGGACTCGGGGGGGGAGGGGGGGAGGTGGTGGGCGGGGCTCCCGCTGGGCGCTGGGGACGCGGGGGGGCTCGGGGCAGAGAGCCACGGCGCGGGGGTCCCACTCTGGCGCTGGGGACGCGGGGTGGGGGGGGGCGACGAATGCGTTCGTGGCGGAGGGGGCAGTGGGCGGGGCTCCCGCTGGGGCGCTGGGGACGGGGGGGGCTCGGGGCAGAGAGCCACGGCCCCGGGGGGGGGGGGTCCCACCCTGGCGTTGGGGGACGCGGTGGAGATGGGGGGGGGGTGCGACGCGGAATAAAGCGTTCGTGGCGGAGGGGGCAGTGGGCGGGGCCCCCGCTGGGGCGCTGGGAGCGCGTGGGTGTTCGGGGCAGAGAGCCACGGCGCGGGGTTCCACTCTGGCGCTGGGGACGCGGGGGGGGGTGCGAGGCGGAGTAAAGTGGTCGGAGCTCTAGACACCCCGGCCCCTCTCGCACGACCCGACACGCTCGTTAGGGCCCGACCCGACCCGACCCGCCCGTTGGGGTCTGCCCGACCCGTCCACTCCCGACACGACCCGCTAGGGTTCTCGCGTGTCCACTCGCACATGCATCATATTCTAATGTCCCGCCGACCCGCCCCGACCCGCGCGTTTGGGTCAGGCCCGACCCGACCCGATCCGCCCGCTAGGGTCCGCCCAATCCGACCCGTCCCGCCAACCCGACCCGACCCGCTAGGGTTCTCGCGTGTCCACTGGCACATGCATTGTATTTTGATGTCCCGCCCGCCCGACCCGACCCGCCCGTTAGGGTCCGACCCGACCCGACCCGACCTGCCCGTTGAGGTCCGCCCGACCCGTCCCTTCCCGACTTTACGCGTTAGGGTTCTCGCGTGTCCTTTCACACATACTTCATACTCATGGCCCGCCGACCCGACCCGACCCGCCCGACCCGCCCGTTAGGGTCCACCCGACCAGACCCGTCCCGTCCCGACCCGTTAGGGTTCTCGCGTGTCCTTTAGCACATGCGTCATATTTGAATGTCCAGCCGACCCGACCCGACCCGCCCGTTAGGGTCCGACCCGTCCTGGCTTTTTCTCTTCATTCCTCCTCCTCGTCATCCTCACTTGTCATCCTCTTTTCGCCTCCTCCGCACTGTTTCTCCTGACTCCCCCTTTTTACTACTCCTCCCTACTCTTTCCTCATTCTACCTCTCCCCCCGTCATCTTTGGTTATCATTTGTTTGTCCTCGATCTCACCCTCTCGCTTCTCTCTCCTGCTCCTCGCTGATCCTCCTCGCTCCTCCTCCGCCCTTCTTCTCCTCACTTATTCTATCACCCCTCCTCTATATTCACTCCTCACTCTACCTCTGCACTTTTTTTGTCATCATCCTCAGTCCCCCTTGCCACTCTCCCCTCCCCTCGTGAAGCGGAGGAGTGACTCGACCCCCACTGCTAATGCTTCTGTGTGCGTGGGGAGGGTTCTTGGGGGGGGTGCGGATCATGCCCAGGCTATGGCGCCTTTGGGGTTGGCATTTCCCTAGTTTGCCCTGGGCCCGACCCCCTGGGCCAACCCTGGGCTTACCTCTAGGCCTACCCCCTTGGCCTACCCTAGGCCTACCCCCAAGCCTTGCACCTGGGCCTACCCTAGACCTATCCCTGGGCCTACCCCCTAGGCCTACCCAACGGCCTACCCCCTAAGTCTACCCTAGGCCTACCTCTAGGCCTTTCCCTATGCCTACCTCCTAGGCCTACCCCTAGAGCTTCCCACAAGGCTTACCCCTAGGCCATGGGTGGGGCCTAACCCCAGGGCCTTGGGTACTGCCTACCCTCGGCTACCCAAGGGCCTTTAATGTGGCCTACCCTAGGCTACTCTAGGGCCTTGGGTAGGGCCTAGGGTAGGCTACCCCCCCGGTTCTATACCCCCGAGAGGGGTCACACAGTATGCCCGCCAACATGGGTGTGTGACTGCCCCACGGTAGCAACGCTACAACATTGACGCGGCCACGTATCCCTATCCCTGTGATTGGCATCACCTGATCTCGATACCGATCTTAGAGATCCCCTCAGTTTCTGAGGACGCATCCCTAAGACTGTCGTCGCATTTAGCCTCATCAAAATCAGAGATCGGGATCATATCGAGGCTGGTTGCTGAGGCTTCCCTGGTATCCTCGTGTCGCGGGCAAAATCACGTCGGGAGGGGTTGGCGGATTTCCAGCCCGCTGGGGGCCCATACCATACAGGGCCCCCCTGGCCGTCACCAAAACGACCCAGGATGAAAGGCCAGCCTCGGGGATGGGGTCCAGATCACTGGGGAGCCCCGCTGTGAAAGTCTGGATTTATGTCGGGCGTGCCCCCCTGCAGGCCGAGTCTGGGCGAAAACTAGCAAATACCAACACAAATGATCAAACCATGCTCAAACAGGCCAACAAATCGTTCCCAGACTATTGTTTAAACTATTTTTGAATATTCCCTCTGTGGAGGGACAGGCCCGACTTGAGCTCAGGACCAGCTCTTCCTTCTCCGAGCCGTTTCTCAACGGTTGCCGGGGGGCCCCGGGGGCGGCACCGTGCGAGACGGGCCCGAGGCCCGCAGGCAGAAACATCAGTGAGGAGGGGAGAAACACACGGACACCATGAATCGTCGATCCCCCAGGAAGAAAATTGGTAAATGTGGGAAGTGTGGGGGGGGGGGGGAAGACGGAAAACCAGCAAGCATTGGAAAATACAGGGGATCCTGGGATTTGTGTGCATTTAGTTGTGCGTCCCTGGGCCCCCTTTGTCCCTTCCAGGTCCCGCTACCCTCAGGCTGATTCTTCCATGCGCCTCTTTCTCGCTCAGATTGCGCCCGTGGGGCTGGGGCCATGCTTCGCGCTGGGCATCGGGCGCGGGGATTGCGCATTCGGTGGGAAGGCGGGGCCGTGTGGTCCGCAAGTCCCAGCGGGGCCTCGGGTCCGCTCGTCCTGGGGAACCCACCTAGGCGGCGGACGTCCGCGCCCCTCCCGGCGCGGCCGAGATCGTGCAGGACCAGGCGCTTCGCATCCTCCGACTCAGGTCGGCCTGCGCGGTGCCCGAAGCAGCCCGGCTGGTTCCAGGTCTCGCGGCACCTGCCTACGTGCGCGGTCTCCAGCAGAGAAGGAGGAGGAGGAGGAGGAAGAGGAGGAGGAGGAAGAGTAGGAGGGGGAGGAGGAGGAGGAGGAGGAGGAGGAGGAGGAGGAGGAGGAGGAGCAGGAGGAGGAGGAGGAGGAGACACAGAAGAAGGAGGATGACGACGAGGAGTAGGAGGAGGAGGAGGAGGGGGAGGCAGAGTGGACGAGAAGGATCCGCAGGATGGGGAGGGGGGCGAGGGCGACCTTGCTCGCAGCAGCAGCAGCAGCAGCAGCAGCAGCAGCAGCAGCAGCAGCAGCACGCAGGAGGGGGTGGAGGAGGTCGCCGCCGGGTCCGCACTGTGGGCGCCGAGGTGATCGGTGCGCGGAGCGGGGCCCCGTGCCGGCCCCCTGGGCGCGGCGTGCGCAGCGGAGGGCGGGCTGCGGGCGTTCCGAGGGGCTCGGGAGCAGATCGCGGGAGCAGAGGGGGAAGCGGTACCCATACCTCTACTTTTTCCCATCGTTTTCCCTTTTTGGGCCTCCTGGGCGGCCCTCGTCGCCACCGCTGGATTCGCTTCGAATTTCCTCGCCAGAACGCACCCTTGGAGATGTACGGGGAGTAGCGGTATCTGTACCTTTTGGTCTCCCCATGGGAGATTCGCATGTCCTCGGAATTCCATCTTTAGGGGGACGAAGAATGACGTAAACATAACAATTCGGAGGTCAGCGCGGGCGCGCTCTGCGCGCCAGGGAGGTCCGAGAAATCCGCGCGGACTTGCGAGTCGTTCTGTTTATGTCATTATTCGTTCCCCTGCTATTTGGAGGTCATCTGGCAAAAGACGGTCTTGGTCGTCTCCTCTTCGCAGCCGAGGGCCCTGGGCGGGGATCTATACAGAACCACTGCCTGGAGGATCGACTTTCGCGGACCTCCATGGGCGGTGGATATGGATATATTTGGGCCCCCGGGGGCCAACATGTGTGTATATCCACCGCCCGCTGGGTACCCAGGACGTCGGTGCCCAGGCGGTGGATACACGCCAGTCGTATTCCCAGATTCCAATCTATTTTACGCGCCTTCCTGCTTCAAGGATCGAGTGGTTTCAAATCATCCTGCCGCTTCAGAGGGCGGGCGGAATCCCAAACTATGCCCAAAGACTTCCAACTTCATGCTTCTACCCACTTCTTCTCAGCGACGGGTATTAGCGCGCGCTAGCGTATGGTATTCGATGAGAAAGCGCCGATTTAGCGTCGGCCAGTTTCGATTCGCAAGAGTCACCAAGATGGCACGGGAGGCCCCCACGAGTTGCCACCCACGAGGGAGGAGAGCCGTCGCCACCTCCACCAGGGGAGGGCCACTTCTTGCGAGGAGGCTCGATGAAGTGAAGACGACATGAACACCAGGGTGAGGTGCAGAGCAGCTTTACACCATTCTTGGGTGCGTGCTGAAGTGGGCTTCCACGGTAAGGATTCTCGAGTTCTCGATTTTGACGAACAATTATAGATGCCCCCTTTCCGGTGCCCTCCTTGTCGTCAATTGAAGTGTTCCTTCTTTGGGGCTCGCACCCAGTCTTGCAAGGAAACGACTTGATGCTCAAGGTGGGCCCCGGGCCCCCACATTGCAAGTCGCGCTCTCGACGTCCAGGAACGTTGCGACCAAGGCGTTGCGCCCACGACGTCCAGGAACCGCGCTTTCGCGCGAGACAACTTTACAATCTTATGACTCGTGCCCTCGCCTGAGGATTCTGTTCCAACTCACGAGAGTCGCTTCAAATGCTCCGCCCGCCCGACCTGCCCGTGAGAGCGCCCGCCCGCCCGACCCGCCCGTGAGGGTCCGCCCGCCCGAGCTGCCCGGTAGGGTGCGCCCGTTCACCTGCTTTGAAGCCCGCCCGCTTCAATGTCCCGCCCTACCCACCCCTTAGAGTCCGCCCGCCCGAGCCGCCCGCCCGAGCCGCCCCTTAGTGTCCGCCCAACCGACACGCTTGTTAGGGTCCGCTCGCCCGAGCCGCCTGTTAGGGTCCGCCGCCCGACCTGCTCGACAGGGTCCGGCCTCTCGCATGCTTGGAAGCCCCCCCCGACCGCTTTAGTGGCCCTGCCGACGCACCTGGCAAGGTCCGCCCGCCCGGCCCGCCCGTTAGGTCCAGCCCGCATGTTAGGGTCCGCTTCCCGAAGGCATTGCTCTTTTCTCATCCCCCTTCAGTGAAATTCCCTTCGCCCTCAATCCTGTTCTTCTTGCCCTCCTCCGTTCTCCTTACCTCTTCCTTTTCCCAGCTCTGTCCGTTTTCTTGTTCCCTCCTCCTCATCTCCTTTCTCCTCTTTCCATCTGAAAGGCGAGCGTCGAGGCTTTCGGGATATACATGTTTACCGGCACGCTGGCAACGAAGAGTCGATTCTGTGAAATTGATTGTTATTGTTGAGCCCTGACTTGTGAAGACGACTATGCCTGATCCGCCTCCCCAGTGACATGCGCATCTCCTTCAGTTCACGTGCCCGTCCTGAGGGCTCACACCCTATGGTTCACGAGATGACGTCTTGGGTCTCCAGTCTGCGCTGTTGCCCCCCCTGAGCTAATATACAACATGGGTGCCGGCCAGACACCATTTCACAGTGGATTCAGGAATTCAATTAGCTCGGCACAACTTTTCACAGTTTCCCTGTGAATCGCGCTCTCGCGTGGGATCTCCTCGCGATTTACTCAGGCGTCGCGCATTCCACTCTCAGGAGTCACTCTCTCGCCGCCTGGTTCCGCCCGCCCGGTCAGGGAAAGTTTTGCTTGCGTGTCAGACGGAAGCCCCGAGCGAAAGCGCGCTTCTTCTATTCCGAGTGAAGATGTATCATGCGGGAGCCGCTGTTGGCTCCTCCTTTCCCAATAACTGTTGTTGATCCCCCCCTGGTGCCCTCTATGTTTTTCAATTGGAGTGTCCCTTCTGGGGTTAAAGACGGAGTCAACGGCTTCTGCCTGACACTTCCTCGCATTTCTCTGTTTTTCAAAATCGCGCTCTCGCGCGGGACTCCCTCACACGTGGTCCAGGAATCACGTTCTCCCGTGGCGTTCCCGAGCAATCTATTATTCAGACGCCGCGACCTGCAGGATCCGCGCTTCAGCGACCCGCCCGCTCAACCCGCCCGTCTGGGTCCGCCCGCACGACCCGCCCGTTAGGGCCAACAGTCGCCATTCGTTGCCCTTCGCCCGCCTTGGATGCTCCTCGCTGCCCTTCGTGGCTCCGCAGTCTCCCTTCGCGGCTCCGTGGCTGCCCTCGTGGCCCCCTCGATGCCATTGGTTGTTTCGCTTCCAGCATTCCTTCCCTCCTCGCTCTTTGGCTTGTCCTGTTACCTTCCTTGCCCTGTCTAGGGCCTGTGCCACTTGCGGGAAGCAGGTAGGTAAGATGTACGCCCAAGGGGGGTACGATCGAAGACGAAGAGGGCGGGTATCGAGATTTTCGGATATACGTGGTGATTGTCACACGAGCAGATGAGAGCGAACAGTCCGAAAAGCATTGTTTTGTTGTTGGACTCTCAGTTCTAAAGAACAAGTGTCGCTGATCCCTCCAAGGGGTCGCATCCTGTTTTGTTTGCATCGGGGGATGTCTTTCGCGTCTGAATGGGCCCCCGGCCCCCGAACTATGTACAGTAACACAAGCTTCCGCCTGATACGTCCGCACAGTGCATGGTGATATCGAGCGATCAATAGAGACCGCCATGCAATGTATGCAGGAGTCGCGCGCTCGCCTGGGACTTCCTCACCATGTATTCACAGGTCGCTTCTCGGCGCTCGCGCTCTCGCTCGGGACCCCTCAAGCAACATTGACTCAAGAACCGCGCTGTCGCCTGAGACTCCTGGCCATCCCCTCTTGCTAGTCCCTCTTGCTAATTCCTCTCGTCCTCCATATGCTCCTTCCCTTCCTCTTGCCCCCCTTCCCTCTTCCTTCCCTTCCACCACACCAGCCCTTCTCGGTCTCCCTTTCCTGGCCTTTCTCTTCTTCCTGTGTTCAGGGTCGCGCGAACGAATCACACGTGGCAGGGAAGGAAGAAGTACACCCCGAAGGGGGCACGGACAAAGACGACGGGGGCGCACATAGGTGGTCTGGGAAACGCCGGCATTTGCAAGCGAACAGTTTTGAGATGATGTTTGTTGCTGTTGTCGTCGTCCTCGGCTGCAGCCCCTTCGCGACCCACCCAACCGCGACCCACCCCGCGACCCACCCCGCGACCCACCCCGCGACTCAACCCGCGACCCACCCGCGACCCACCCGCGACCTACCCTCACTCTTACCCGCAATTGTGGGGTGCTAGATAAATTTTCGAGGGTCCGCGCGGCCCCCCTAACGGCACCTCCGGCGCCGCCCCTGGCGCGCTCTGGTCGCCAGGGAGGGGGGCCCAGCGCAGATCCAAGACAATTGCGCGGACCCTCGAAAGCGTACGATCATGCAATTTTCCTTACACCTCCTTCGAGCTGGGGATGGGGGATGTGTCGAGCGAGGGGAGAGGATCGCACCACCAGGACCCCTCTGGCTCCTCGCGCTGGTGGTGGTGGTGGTGGTGGTGGTGTCGAGCTTTCTTGGACCCAGCGGCGGAGCCGGCGCTGTGCGGAGCTGCGCTTCCCTGGCCTCCCCGCTGTTCGGTGGTGGGCCAGCCACGCGCCCGAGTGACCCCTCGACGGATCGAGGTGCTCGATGTGTTCTGTTCGGTCGTCCTCGTCGGCCCCCGGCGGCTTTCCGCCCTCGTGGCACGTGCCAGCAGCTGCGCCTCGCCGAGAGCAGTCCCAAAGGGTGCCCGGATCTCCTCGACCAGCCACCGCAGGACCCGAGCCACGACCAGAAAATACCAGGCGGTGACCCTTGACCGGGGTCACCTTCGGTGCGCTGCCTGCTGGGAGACAGGGGGGGGGGCACGACACGGTCGGCAAGCCAGCCGCGCGCCAGGGGTTCTTCCTGCCAAGGGCCGCTCTTGCGTGCAGTGACAGCGCGAACACGGGGTCGGCGCGAGGGGTAGGGGCGTCCTAAAGGCTGGGGGGGGGTTGCTTTTAATTCGAGGAAATGGGCTGCGCAGGGGGGCCCACAAGCTATTCATAGGAGACCTCAGAAGCCGACAGGGCTTCTGAGCAGCCCCCGTCCTGCGCGGAAGCCTGGCCACCTCTCAGAAGGCCCCCCCCCTTGCGCCGCCCCCCCCCCCCCCGTGGGACGCACGCGCCGCGTGGTGCAGCCGAGTGGCGACGCGCGGCAGATGCACACGCCCTCCGCGGGCGCTGGTGTATACAAAAGCGCGCGCTCGCGCGCGCGCAGCTTTCTCTCGCAGCGAAGGCTCGCCCCCAGTACTCGCCGGTCGCTGAAAAGATGTCTTTTGGGATCCCCAGACCCCAATCTACTTCAAGCGCCTTCCTG